AGTGTTATGATGCTCTTTAACCTTTCACTGCAGATGTATAACATTGCCAAGCCATCAACCTGGAAATGTTGAGCTTTGTGTGTACATTAACGCATGGACAGATAAATACCAGATCCTTAGGAGAAATGTCTGTGTCAGCATTTCTTTTCTCTTTCATTTAACATTCGCTACTAATACTAGCTCGTTTAACTCTTTCACTCCTGTACCAGTCACTCATTTCTGCTCTTTGTGTGTGCTAATCTTCTGGAACACAAATCATCGTGCCACTTTCAAGCCACGCCAAAGCCAGTGCAGCCATTAGGCGGGATGAGGTCACCGCCTCAGGTGGCAGAAGCCCCAAGGCAGTGCCCTCACAGGATCACTGCCTGCTCCACCAGTGGAAAAGCAGCACCAGCATCGGTGCTGACTTCAGGTGAGAACTCGCTGAATAACATGAGATCTCCCCCCAAATCAGCAAGACCTCACTCAAAATTGACACCGATGCCAGTGCCACTTCTCTGCCTCTGGTGGAGGTGGCTATAGGGAAAGGTGGCACTTCCCATTTTGTCTCAAGCAGCAAAATGGGACCCACTGCCCTGGGCCACGTTCAAAGGATACAGGGTTCCTTTAGAACAGTGGTTCTCAACCTGTGAGTCCCCAGATGTTGTTGGACTACAACTCCCATCATCCCTGAGCTCTGGCCTTGCATCTGGGGACCCACAGGTTGAGAAAGGCTGCTTTAGAAGGAAGTGGTCCCACTTGGATGGCTTTAGGGGAATAGACAATTTTGCTGATGATGGCTTTGCTCTACCTTCCATTTTGGAGGTTGTATGCCCCCTGAATATCAGTTTCTGGGAATTGCAGGTGGGGAAAGTGCTTTAGTGCCCATGATCTGCTTGTAAAAAAGGTAAAAAGGTAAAGGACCCCTGGGTGGTTAAATCCAGTCAAAGGTGACGACGGGATTGTGGAGCTCATCTCAGGCTGAGGGAGCTGGTGTTTGTCCACAGACAACTTTCCAGGTCATGTGGCCAGCATGACTAAACCACTTCTGGCACAAGAGAACACCGTGACAGAAGCCGGAGTGCACAGAAACACTGTTTACCTTTCCGCCACAGCGGTACCTATTTATCTACTTGCACTCATGTGCTTTCAAACTGCTAGGTTGGCAGAAGCTGGGACAGAGCAAAGGGAGCTCACTCCATCACAGGGATTCGAACCGCCAACCTTTTGATTGGCAAGCCCAAGAGGCTAAGTGGTTTAGTCCACAGCGCCACCCGTGCAAGCAAGCAAGGCTGCTTGTAGCTTTACATGGGCATCTGGTTGCCCCCTGTGACAACACAGTGCTGGACTAGATAAATCTTTTACTTAATCCAACAGAGTTCTTCTAAAGCTCCTAAGTTCTTTGATTTCGTGCAAGGGCACCCTACCCATTCCTCTTCCATACCACTTTCCTATTCTGTGGTTGTGCTTGCCAGAAAGGGCACACAACCCACTATTCACTACAACTATCAAAAAAGCCATGTATTTCAGACCTATCAAGTTTGATGGGCAAGTGAGGAAGAGGGATGTATTTGGAATGGAGCAGTGGTGGAAGAGAAGGAGGCGGTGGCAAGGCATCGTTCCTTTCCTCCAGAATTTCTTCCTCTTCTGGTTTGGGTTTCCGAGTAGCCTTGGAAACATCATATCCCCCTCACCTCACCACTGTCCTTTAACTTCTTTCAGAACAACAGCAGGGATGGGGAACCTGCCTCTTGAGATGTTGCTGGACTCTCAGTTCCCATCATGGCCAATAAATAGGGGGATGATGGGAACTGTAGTGCTGCAATATCCAGAGGACCACAAGTTCTCCATCACTGCTCTGTGGTGTCCCTTACGGTGCTGTCTAGAACAGCCAGAGTCAGGTGAAGTGGGGAAGAGGCCAGGTTTTGTCTCCCCCACAACCTTATCTACAAGTACAACACTCTCATTTTCTCTTTAGGAATCAGTGTCAGGTCCTCCTTTATGTGAGGAGAAGTAAAGGACTGGGGTCTAGCACCATCCCGAGTTCTGCTTTTTGTTCAAAAGAGATTGAATACCAAAAGAAAGGAACATTCAACACCAAAAGAGAGGAACAAAATGTTGGAAAGCATCATTTGTATATAGAGAGATAACATTCTTTTGTTTTCTTTTTGTGAAATATATCTTTATTTCATTTTGTTCCATAAGGGGAGGAAACAGCTTCAGACCTCAAAAAAAGTCTCACAGCAGAAGAAAAACAATTAAACAAATACAATACAATACAATACAATACAATACAATACAATACAATACAATAGTAAACAAAGTGGTGGAGCTACAGATATTTAGCAGCACATTCAATATGGGAGGAAGCACCTCAAAGCTAAAATCGTAAAATGTGCAAATATTATATGAGAGATACCAAGAATCACAAATGATCACTGTCCTGAAAAAAAGTATTTCCGAAAGCTGTACTGTGAGACTGGAGGTCGAATGTTCCCTTCCGATCTCAGTCTTTTCCAAAAGGCAATAATATACTTAGGTCTGCTTTTTCTGTGTATGCAAGGGACATTAATTAATTAACCGGGACATCTGCTTAATTGAGACATTTCCTGTAGCAGCAAGGAGAGAGGGGGTACAAATTAACTCTAATAATATTTAATGGCTGCTTAAATGGATCACCTGGAAGTGATTATCTGTGACATGAACACAGCTGTCTGGTCTTTGTGCCTTCCATTTGTCTTTGAATACACGTGAGTAGAAAAGAGGTCTATAAAGGATGTTAAATGATGTTTTTTTAAAAAAGTACGTATGCCTATGTAGCTTAGTGGAGGACGCCTGTCATTTCCACATAGGACTGGGAGAGACCCACATCTGAAATCCTGAACAGCTTCTGCCATTCAGTGTAGACAGAGCTAATTGGACCCGTAGTCTGAAGTTCAAGGCAGTTTCTCCTATCCAAGAGGTTCCTACAAAGCAAAAATGATTCCTCATACAGTGGTACCTCGGGTTTAGTACTTAATTCGTTCCGGAGGTCCGTTTTTAACCTGAAACTGTTCTTAACCTGAAGCACTACTTTAGCTAATGGGGCCTCCTGCTGCCGCCGCGCCACCGGAGCACGATTTCTGTTCTCATCCTGAAGCAAAGTTCTTAACCCGAGGTACTATTTCTGGGTTAGTGGAGTCTGTAACCTGAAGCCTATGTAAGCCGAGGTACCACTGTACTGTTCTGGGCCCTTTCTTATGTGGGTGTGTTTCTGCTGGCTTCCATAAGTTAGTGGTAGGAACTCCTCATTGCACCATTACTTGCAACCCACTGTCAATTTCATGTGTGTATGTGTGTGATTTTTTAAAAATGTCCTCATTCTCTTTATGAGGAATGTAAGAACAAAGCAATTTAAAACAATAAGGAGCTCTTGGAGGATATGGTGTAAAAGAACACTGTGCCCGAAAAAGCACTTTTTGGGGGGCTTCAATCTCATGGAGGTGGGGATTTGGGTCCATTTCAGGCAGGAAAATGTCTTGGAACAGTGCTGGGGTTCACTTCTCCTTGCAATTTAAAATTAATTTTAAAAGTATTTTTTCTCTCTGGAGCAATTATCCTTCTCTGAGGAGTTGGTGTGGCTCTCATGCCCGTTCCTGAGCCACTAACGATGCCAGGTGTACAATAATTGGCCAGACATGCATGGCCTGTTGTATCTTGTTGCTTAATTATCCCGATCACCTCCTTTCAGCTGTCTTCTAGTGTACATCATCTGATGATGACACTCTTTTTTATTTCATTTATTTTTTCCCCACAGAGACCTGAGGCAACTCCCTCTTCACCCCGCTATATGAAGCGTAGGATTAGGCTGAGGACAGCTCCCAGCACTGGTGCAAAGGGAATGCATCTTCCCCTTGCTTCTGAGCTTTCCCCATGGCACAAGAAACTTTTGGTGAGTCAAGGAAAGGGATGCAGAAGATGAAGGGACAGTTCTGTGGCCCACGTTGAAGTTGGCCTAACATTCCTTACTGTGTGCGGTCTTGTTTGATCAGAAGGTTTAGCAAGAGGATTCTGCCAGGGGTGGGGTGGTAGTGGGATGAAGCTCTTTAGATCTGCCCTGTTTGTCTGCCCAAAAATGCCACAGAAGCTTTCGCAGTGTGTGCCTGATTCTGACACATCACCCCTCTAATAGTGAAGTCATTTGGTGAGTGCTGATAGGGCTAGAATCATAATGGGGCCCCTGAGAAACAAGAGGGAGGTATCAGTGTATTTGGGACAACCACAACCACAAACTTGAGTTTTGCAAAAGTTAAAAAAAAAAATCCCAAAGGGCCAAAAGCAAGAAAGCCAGTCCATTGAGCATGCTTAGGAGACACGAAATGTAGAATGACATTTGGAAAAGGAAAATGGAACATTCAGTGGGGCGGGTGAAAACTGGTTGCCCTGCTTGGCTGGCTGGCACTTTAAACAGGAGCACATCTTTTCAGAAGACAGATACAGCCAAACCTCAGTTCCTTAATGCCTCCATTGTCATACTTTTCGGCTCCCGAACATCGAAAACCCAGAAAATCGGACGGGGCTTCTGCTTGAGTGCAAGAAGCTCTTGCAACCAATCAGAAGCCATGCCTCAGTTGTCAAATGTTTCAGAAGATGAACGGTCTTCTGGAATGGATTATGTTTGAGAACCGAGGTTTGACTTGTAGACTGCAATATTTTGTTGCAAGTCCCCTTTGGTCCCAATGAAAGGCAGCCTAGGAAGTAGGAGCAACACCCTTTATAACAGGGGCAGGAAACCTTTTCACTCTTTATCTGGCCCTACCCATGGGCCAAATTTGACAGGTGGATAGGAAAACCTCCCTGTCAATTGCATGGCATTAAAACACCGGATGATCGAGAGTAAAGTTGTCCTGCATACCTGTCAAAATCCCTTCTGCATTTTTTTCTGGGAACAGGCGTGCGCCAAAGGCAGAATTGAATCCCACTCTCAGTGTCACCTAATTGACAGATGGGAAATGGCTGTGTGGGTGAAATTGGACTCCCTGGCAGAATAAGAAATGTGTGTGTGTGTGTGTGTGTGTGTGTGTGTGTGTGTGTACACACACACACACACACACACACATATTTACTGCAGAAACAATCTAACCTCAGTTTGCAAAACACTTTCATGGCATTTTAAGACTCTGCAGACTGGGCCTTCCATTATGCTGGAAAGAAAGAAAAACAATTGATTCTTTTTCTGTTCTAGAATTATTGCATGCTGCCCTTCTCTTATCCTCTTCCACACTGGATGTTGTAATTAATTTTCATTTTGCTTAACATCTGGATAGTCCTGGTTCGAGCTTTGCTGATTGCTGCAAGGCACCTTAATTAGATATGGGGGAAAGCAGGATAGAGAGATACCCAGCATCAGTAAAAAGTACAACAAATTATGTTGAAAAATTTGCAATTTAAAAGCCTGGGGGAAAGGACTTCATCTGGCACCCAAAGGACCACAAAGATTGTGTCAGGCAAGCTTCTCTGAGGAGAGCATCCCACAACTGGCATTCCACCACCAAAAAGGCCCTTTTCTCATGGGCTGACTTCTCCTAGTGAAGGGCCTCTGAAGATTATGTTAATCGACCCTGGGAATGGAATGGATGTAAGGCAGTGCAGTGCAGTGCATTGTATAGTCAAAATAAATGGTGAGGAAGCAAGTGCCTAACCTTCCTCATGGCAGACAAACACTTGGAGCTATGTTGGCAGCCTCTGAAATAAGACGGGAGCTGGGCAGGGCTTCTATACCCACTGCTATAAAAATCTTTAGTCAGGCCTTTTGCCGAACATAAAAGTTTCTCTCAGTAATTCCCTTCACCTACCCCAGTGTCTTGTGGTCGAACTAATAGCAACCTACAGCTAGAATCAGTTGAGGAACAGCTTTTTGTGGATTTCATTTGCACTTAGTATGTCTGTGGTTTGAATATTTTTCTTATTTCAGGAGGAAAAGGTAGCAGAAATACTAGCTTTCCAAGCTGCCAAAGGTTTGTTTCTCTTTGTTGACCTTCTGTTAGGTTTGGAAGCTTATTAGAGCAAGACAGTCAAAACACAGACAGGAAACAACGTGCAATGTTGTCCAACTAGAGTATTGATTACCTCCCTGTGATTTTCATGTTAAAGAGACATTGTCAGATCAAATTCAGTCCAAACTCTGGATTTTTCTTTCCTTTTTAAATAAAATAAAATAATGACCCTTGGTTTAATGGGTATATTTCTGTTCCTCCTTCCTTCATTCCAAAATTTCCAAAGCAAACATTCCAAGGTCGCTTTGGAGATTCAACCAGACTTGGGTTCTCTCATAATATTTAACATGCTTTTGTGGGATCTGAAAACAGCCTACCAAACCTCATATTCTTTACAAAAGAAAGAAAGAAAGAAAGAAAGAAAGAAAGAAAGAAAGAAAGAAAGAAAGAAAGAAACTGCAGAAAATGGTATATTTCAGTGCTGGGGGAACACCTGTGCTACTCACTGGCCCAGAATGCTCCAGGACATCACTGGGGAATTTTGCAGCAAATTCATTCATTTCTGTAACTCCCATTCATTTTTATTTCCCCTTGCTTCCACAGGGAGACCCAGGTAGTCTTCTGTTTCTGAATGGACGATTTCCAAATGAGTAACAAAACAAATGCCATTCTAAAGAATGAGTAGCACAATGAATGACGTTTAAACAATGAAAACAAATGGAGTCCAGTAATACAAGCAATAGATAAATAAATTCTCGCACATATCTAGTATGTAATATACTCATTCTATCGAGTAATGGATGAAGCATCAAAGTTTGCCCATTATCTATCGTGTGCATTACAAGGAGCTAAAAGGAAATGAATATTCCGTTACACTAGAGGGCCCTGAGAACATTGGGCTTTGTTTTCCCCTTTCCATCTGAACTCAGTGTATACACGTGCCAGAAAAAAGATGCAAAGGTTTTTCATATATAGCTTAAATCTTTGCAGATTTTGAAATGGTGAGAGCATTTTGTTTACAAGCTAATTGCAATTGGTAAGAAAGAATTGGGTGCTGCTCCTGAATCACAACGTGCCCACAACTTCATTGATGTGTATAGGCATTATCCAATCTATCATCAATTCAGCAAAGATGAGGGGGCAGAGAGAGAAGGCCATCTTTCAAGCACTGCCTCTCCCCATATAAATCAACCCAGACTCTGTGTTCATCATCTGAGGCCCTTATTTGTGTGCCTCCTCCATGTGAGGTCTGGAAGGTGGCAACATGAGAACAGGGCTTTTCTGCAGTGGCTCTCCATTTGTGGAATACTCTCCCCAGAGAGGTTCACCTGGTGCCTTCATTATATATATTTTAGGTACCAGGCGAAAATGTTCCTGGCTGATTAATATTCTAGAGCCTTTTAAATGTGTTTGTGAAGGAGAGGGGGAGTTATTGTTTGGTTGTTTCTGTTTTCACTATTTATTTGTGCTTTTACCTTGTATTTTTACCTTATGAACCGCCCTGCAATCTTTTGATGAAGGGTAGTATATAAATCTAATAAATAAAATGGAATAAAATCTTTCTTCTCCCTATCTAGCTGAGGTAGTGGTCTGGCTTGCTGTGCTTCTTTAAGCAATTTGATTGTGCTTGCTCCTTCCATCTGTAGCAGAACCCTTCCTTTGGACATACAGTTAAGTGACGCACAGGCCTTTTCTCCAGTAGCTGCTGAATTAGTTGGTCCCTATTCTGTCCCATGATGCCAATAGCTACAGTGGAAACTTCCTGCACAAATGTCTTGAGACCAGTTGTGTGGGAATGTGAGGGGAGCCATAGCCCTGGGCCCAGAATTCTGAGGGGGTACAACCTGACACCCCCACAACAGGCTCCCTCACCAAGGCCATGTGGCTGCTGCCTTCCAGAGTCACAACTCCACATCTCTTTTGCAATGTTTATCTTCATTCTCGTTTTGGCTAATTTCAGCAACATCAGAATTTTGTGAGATTCCAAACCCATATTTGTTCTTGTGAGATCTTTGCACCCAAATCCCCCGTCATAGCAGCTACTGTTCATATATGGATTGATTATTGCTTGATTAATTCAATCACGAAACCAATGTAAAGCCATATTTTCAATATCAGAGGAAGACTAACCTTTTTAAATAATAATAATAATAATAATAATAATAATAATAATAATCATCCACCCAGGGACTGGACAAAAGGATGGTATGAAGTTGTTTTTCTGAACTTTGTAAACTGTTGGATAAGATTGGAACAGGTGACCTAGGGGTGAATGTTCCATATCCTATTACCAGTCTCTGGAGCCGCAGAGTCCCCACTGAGGAAGTTTTCTATTTAAATTCTCCCCATCCACCCCACCAGGACTTCCTCCTCCTCCTCTCTCTAGTTCATGTTCCGTGTGACTAGAAATTGGAACCATTAAAAAGGGAAGCTCTGAATGAAAAAAGAGGAGCCAGAGTTTATTTTGTTTTCTCTGAGAGAAGATCCGGTCACTGACCATCCTTAGAAAACTGACTCCAAAGTTTCCTTTAGAGAGTTCCAAGTTGGAAGGGGCTCTCTTGTGCTGAGCTATGCTCAGATGAGAGAGGATGGCCTGTTAATGGTTTCAAGCACCATGACACTATATCTAAGGCACTACATCGACATCTAAGAGTGGGTCTATAGTTGGGCCAAGCCGAGACATTCTCTTGCTTTGGAGCAGATCATAACAGGTGACATTTCAGCAACATTGGGGAAAGAAGAGAATGCTCTCATTCAGTTCAAGCTTACGTTGCGATGAATGAATTTTGCAGAGTGCCACTTGAGCCCAAGCTGAATTGCACACTTAATTCTGGGAGGAAGCTAGAAATAATTATCAGTTTCTTGTCAGTTTCTGGCTGGGATCATATATCAAAGACATAAGATGTATATCAACATCAAACGCCAAATGGATATGGGCCCAAAATTTGTGAATTTCTGGTATGCCAGAAGCTGCTAAGGGAACTATTTTCCCAACAACTCTTTCCAGAGAGGAAATGCTGGAAATAAGAATAGCTGGTTGGAGAATCTGCATCCATATTGCATTATGTTTTAGTATGGGTCAAATGATACTGAGATTTTATCATCCCCCTTCCATATTGCCACAAGGTGACCTATCCCACGGGTGGCAGCCTATTGCTCCAAGGTGAGCTGCCTTCTCTGTAGGAAGGTCATTGTGAGTGTACCAGGTCAGGGACAGGAGTTTGTCCTCAGCATGATCGACATTGACAATGCAAGTATATTCATAGGTAGGTTTATGGTTTTTGTTGACTGTTCTGTAAAATGCTACATGTCAGAGGATCGACCATTTGGCCTGTCATTCTGTGGGCATGGATTTAACCCTAGAAATACCTAGGATCCAATGATCTCACTATTCTATTTGAAAGCTCCACATTAGAGATTGGGAAACTGTGGACCTCCAAGTGTTGTCCAACTCCCATCATCCTTGACAATGAGAACATCTGGGAGGCCACAGGATCCTTTTCCCCGTCCTATATTCACCTTGCTTCCTGAAGTCTTTGTAGCTAAAGTTTGCCTAGCAAGAAAGGAGCGAAAGAAACCAGTTTGAACGGGCTTTGTTTTTGTGAGGCAATAGTAAGAGGTTAGCAATGTATAAGTGATATGTTATCTAATAAATCCCTGTAAAGGCATGTAGCTTCAAGAAGTTACTGCTTTCGTGCTTTAGTTATTATCTTTTTTAAAAATCTATCGTTGCTATTATTTCAGCTTTGAGAACATGCAGGCAGTGTGCCATGAGCCATAAAACCACCACCTCCAATGCGTTAATTTTTGATGGGGAACGATTAAAAATAATAATAATAACAACCAAGAGGAAGATTGTAGCATTTGACTGCTATCCAGAAGGCCCTGAATAGAGCTTGGCATTTGGCATCCGTTAATTAAGCGGCAAGAGAAGCATCTTAAAAATTGCAGAGGGATAATAGAAACAAGGCTGGGGTAGGAGTGGTAACAGGGAGGAGGCAGTACATAAACATAAAAAGAGGCCTGCTAGATCAGGCCAAAGGCTCCGTCTAACGCAGCATCCTGCTCTCACAGTGGCCAAACAGATGACTATGGGAAGCCCACAAGCAGGAACTGAGGCAACAGCCAGTGAT